TCCTTATTACAAGCCAAGGACACCCTAGAAACCTCCAAGAACCGACTGCAAATCGACTGGGCAAACTGGCAGTGACAGCTCCATAAAATATGGTTGAGGCCTTCAGAAGCACTTTTGCAAAGAAGAGGACCAAACACAAAAGAATAATGCCTTTGAATACGGTCCATGGTATTAGCTTTTCTATATAAACCTGCCAACTGAATCATCTTCAAAATTTTAACCTTCAAGGGTGAGGCGAACAACGAGGCATTAGTGGAGGTGATGGAGGGTATGGGAATTATAAATTATAATTAAGGTTAAATGATAATAACAATAATATAACTTTGAAGGGTATGGGAACTATAAATTATAATTAAGGTCAAAGCAGAGGTACCAAAAATTCTTTTATTTGATTTTTTTGGTTATTGACTTTTGTCAAATATTGACTAGTCTCTTCATCTCCTTCATCGCAGAATATCTCGATATGTTTGATGCAAGTTCAGCTTCCAACCAGTCTAAGGTTGAGCAGCAAAGGCTATTTTCAGAGCCGGTTAGGATTGTTGAGAAGTATCCTTCTGGTGACGGAGGTGATTTGAAGAAAAAACATATGGTCTGCGTTAATTGGTTGCTCTCTGATAAGCCCTTGGACTTGGAAACTGAGCTTACCCTTGGGTTTTTAGACCATCTTATGCTGGGAACTCCTGCTTCTCCATTGAGGAAAATCTTACTGGAGAGTGGTCTGGGAGATGCCATTGTTGGCGGGGGGATTGAAGATGAGCTCTTACAACCACAGTTTAGTATTGGATTGAAGGGTGTTTCGGATGATGACATTCCAAAAGTAGAAGAATTAATTCTAAATACCCTTAAGAAATTAACAGAGGAAGGTTTTGACAATGATGCAGTAGAGGCTTCCATGAATACCATTGAGTTTTCCCTGCGGGAAAATAACACAGGATCTTTCCCTAGAGGGTTGTCACTTATGCTTCGATCCATTGTAAGCTATAACCAGCTCTTTTTATTTCCTAATTTTAAGCATCAAATTTATTTTTGAAGTTCGATGGCTAAAAGGTTTTTAAAATTGAAATCCATAGGGCAAATGGATATATGATATGRATCCATTTGAACCATTGAAGTATGAAGAGCCTTTGAAGGTCTTGAAAGCCAGAATAGCTGCAGAAGGACCGAAAGCTGTTTTTTCTCCTCTGATAGAGAAATTCATCTTGAACAACCCTCATCGAGTAACTATTGAGATGCAGGTAAAATATGCTTAATCTTATCTCTAAGAATTTCACTCACTATGTCACTAAATTTGATTTTATCTGTTGTGATTTTGCCCCTCCTTTCACAGCCCGATCCAGAGAAAGCTTCTCGTGATGAAGCAGTTGAAAAAGAAATACTGCAGAAAGTTAAAGAAAGCATGACTGAAGAAGATCTTGCTGAACTAGCACGTGCTACACAGGAATTACGGCTGAAGCAAGAAACACCTGATCCACCAGAAGCTTTAAGATGCGTTCCATGTCTTTGCCTTCAAGATATTCCTAAAGAACCTATTCGTGTTCCTACAGAGGTAACCATATCAGTCCATGTTTGAATTCAGTGGACAATCTGCATTATGGTTTAGTTTCTAGGCTCTTACTCTTTAGTATGATCCACCTGTAGATTGGGAATGTAAATGGAGTGACCGTTTTACAACATGAACTCTTCACAAATGACGTTCTTTACACAGAAGCTGTTTTTGATATGAGTTCATTGAAGCAGGAGCTTCTTCCTTTGGTACCTCTATTTTGGTAAGTGGTGGAACTTTATTTGTCTGTTGGTCATTGCAGATAGCTATTCATTTTTTTTTTTTGGGATGGAAAACCAAACTAAGAAACATGAAAAATAAGGCCATTCAAAGAAACCAGCCCCACAAAAGGAGTCCTCAAACTAACGGTGCAGAAGATGACTCCAATCTAGAAGAATAAGGCCTAATTTTGAATCTTGCAAGAGATCAATGACTGAAGATTTCTTGGGTGCCTCTAAGTTGAAATTCTTAATTTATGAAATCTCTTCAGGGAATTCCAAAGGCAGATGTGAGAAACATTATTTAGGTCTTTTTTAGGGCATTTCGCTAGAGGATGTTACATACAGAGATCACCCATGGTTTGAACTTCAAACCTTGTAAGCCAGTTCGACATAAGGTTCAGTTTTGCAGGCAATGGAAAGGTTACAAGAACCTTATGGAAAACAGTTTCCAGGATAGGAGAGAAATATAAACAAGAAAATAAGTTTAGATACAGCAATTTTCTCACCAAAATAGAGTTTCATTTAATTATTTCAATTTGAACCCAGAGATTCACAGGATCACAGCCTTGGATAAAAGAACTTTTATCTTTGAGCTTGTGGCTTTTAGAAAACGTAATATTTGTTACAAGAAGAGGGAAAAATATGCATAAGAGCTGTAACAATAAAGCATTGTCTTATATCCAAAGAAATGATAAACAGAACATTTTGTTTGTTTATGCTCCTTCGAAGTTAAAATATATAGAAATGTTTTAAGCTTCTCTGTCCTTTTGGCAGTCAATTATGTTATAGATGATACCAATCATGGAAGTTAATCTGAATCACATTGTTCCTTGCTTTTCTTATAAGTATATATTTTTGACTTTCAAACGTTCTTGGCAGTCAATCATTGTTAGAGATGGGAACAAAAGACTTGACTTTTGTGCAACTTAATCAGTTAATTGGAAGGAAAACTGGGGGGATATCGGTTTATCCATTTACATCATCTGTGCGTGGCAATGACAAGGCATGTAGTCATATGATTGTAAGAGGCAAGGCTATGGCTGGATGTGCCGAAGACTTGTTCAACCTGGTATATAAATTCAAAATCAGTCTGATTTTGTTATTATTATTTTTATTATTTTTATTTGAAATATGTACTGCAGATATTCTTTGCGAATTTGTCTTTTGATTTCTGCATTGCCACAATGTGTAGTTTTATACTGCTCTGTAGTTGAGCTACTTATCTTTACTATTAATTTTTAATTTACAATTCAAAGTTAGCTGCTTAATGATAATTAATAGAATAACCAATTCGTTCCTTTTTATGTTAGATGAACTGCATTCTTCAAGAAGTACAGTTTACAGATCAGCAGCGATTTAAACAGTTTGTATCTCAAAGCAAATCAAGAATGGAGGTACATCAAATAAACAAATAAAATGCTGATACAGCTTAATTGTGATATGTAAAGTACTAATGTGATTAAATGTGATATGTATCAGAATCGGTTAAGAGGTAGTGGTCATGGAATTGCTGCTGCTAGGATGGATGCGAAGTTGAACATTGCAGGGTGGATCTCTGAACAAATGGGTGGTCTCAGGTTGGGATTTTTCAGTATTTTCATGTTTTTTTCATCGTTTATTTTTGGCTTTTCTGATGACACTGTTATCGTGCCGCTCCTTGTGGCCATTCAACTCTGTATGTGTTATGAACTCTCGTTAGGATTTGACATAAGGTCTGGCAATTCATCTGATGGTTTTTCCTTGAGCTAAATGAGCTTTGAATACATTGCATGGGTATATGCATGTGTCGTGTTATTTGAGATGATGCAGAAAATTCAATATATTGATTTCAACCTTCTTTTATTGGTTTTCTTGTTGTGTATAGTTATCTGGAATTCCTGCGAACTCTCGAAGAGAAGGTTGATAGTAATTGGGCCGAAATTTCTTCATCACTTGAGGAAATCCGCCAATCCTTGCTTTCAAGAAAAAATTGCCTAATAAACATTACTGCTGATGGCAAAAATCTCACAAAGTCAGAGAAGTTCATTGGCAATTTTCTCGATTTTCTTCCTAACCAATCTGCCCTTAAGAACAGCACTTGGAATGCCCGGCTTTCTTCAGAGAATGAGGCCATTGTGATACCTACCCAGGTAAGTGCATTCTTTTTATCAGTTTGTTTTGCACAATTTTGCCTCAATTATTTGTTAATAGCTACCTCCTCCAGGTTAATTACGTTGGAAAAGCAGCCAACATTTATGAAACTGGCTATCAACTTAATGGAAGTGCCTATGTTATTTCAAAGTTTATTAGTAATACTTGGTTATGGGACCGTGTTCGAGTAAGTGGAGGTGCTTATGGAGGTTTTTGTGATTTTGATACTCATTCAGGTACAATTTTCTACTGTCATTTATCATTGCATTTAGTACCAATAGGTAATCTTACCTTTTGTGAATTGTATTTGTAGGAGTATTCTCCTTCTTATCTTACCGTGACCCAAATTTGTTAAAGACACTTGATGTATATGATGGAACTGTTGATTTTCTGCGTGAATTGGAATTGGATGAAGATACTATAACAAAAGCCATAATTGGAACCATTGGAGATGTTGATTCATACCAGCTTCCTGATGCTAAAGGTTACAGTAGGTATGGTGACACCCTGCCCAAATTTCTTCTCGTCATATAATCAGTCTGTTCTTTTGCAATTCACCCTGTAGTTATTATAAATTTCTTTCTGGCTTTGGCTAAGTTTTGTGATTAAACCTCACATACGGAAGTTTCTAGGCAGATTTTGTTTGCATCAGGATCTTGTATCTGCCTGCGTAAACAAAAAAATAAAAATAAAAAAATAGTAAGAACTTGTAAAAAATAGCATCCAAGAAAACATAAAAGAATGATTCCTCTTGAAATGCTATTATACTAGCATGTGTATTGGGCATCCTCCTGACATCAAGTTATTCTAGTATTCATTGTGTACTGAAGGGCTTAAAGATGCTAAAAAAAGGTTTGAATATATTTAATCATCTGTAAAGATCAGCAATGTTGAAAAGGATTTTCTCCCTTAATGATTATGTCCTTCGTATATATTATTTCGTATGGATTTCAAGGCAATTATTTCCCTCTCTTTGTTTACCACCTGGAAATTTTAAGGCAATTATTTTCATTTTTGGGCTTTTGTTTCTCTCTAGTGTTTGTCCATTCTGTTCGAATTTTATTTACTAATATATCTTTTGTCTCTTCAGCTTGTTGCGGCATTTATTAGGAATTACAGAAGAAGAAAGGCAAAGGAGAAGGGAAGAGATTCTATCAACCAGGTAAAAAATGACTCTACTGGCTAGTGTTTATTTTAGTAAGCAACCTGTCAAACCTTGCCCTCGCAATACTGAGTTCGGCAATATTTTGGCTTGAAGATTCTTTTAATTTACCATGTCAAGGAAGAAAGTCAGTTCCTAGCCGAGCTGCATTTAGAGGTTTTTTATAAGTCCCGTTTGTCAATTTGCAAATCATAAAAGGTCAATATCCTATTCATCATCATGAGCTGAATTTAGAGGTTTTTTATAACTCCCGTTTGTCAATTTGCAAATCATAAAAGGTCAATATCCTATTCATCATCATTCACTGTCTTCGCCTTTCACTCTCATCCACAGACATGGGAGTGTTTCTCCCACCTTCAATGTGTCTAATACAAGAACCTAACAAGATAATTCTCTCAAGTTCCTCACCAAATAATATTAATAATATTCTCCAAGATGATCTTCTCCTCTCCAGCCACCCTTATTTATAACCACTCACCCATAACTAATTACCATGCTAATTACCATACTGCCCCTTCATACTAACAAACTAATAATATTCCCTATACTCCTAATAGGATTCTCATAGTCTGATAAATGTTTTCTAAATTTATTGACCATCACTGATTCACTTATTTGTATTGGATCTATTCTTGTAAGGAAATCCTGAGGTCACTTCAATAGTTTCCATTATATTGTAGAACATGAGTTTAGAACAGAAAATAGAGTCCTTGTCCTTGAAACCAAATATGGAGTGAATTTTCCATCACATCGTGCATCAGTGCTCTAAGCAAGTTTCACACCCAAATATCTTCGATTACGTCACATTCTTCTATTCTCATTAAAAAAAAAGTATATTCTTCTATTGRTTTTCGGTTTTCCGATTCTCATATTTTGGGATAATTCCAAGATTATTACTATAAGGATTGAATTCCAAGATTATTATGGGATATATTACCGACTCAATTGTTCCCAGTGTCTAGAATTTCTTTTTTGGATAAGAAGTGTCTCTAGAATTTCATCTCCCAAAATTCCATACTTTTCAACTCCTCAAATTCTAGAAATACAAATGCACCTTCCATATATCTGCTCCTATGGTTCAATTGGCAGCAAATTCCATTCCACAACAGGTTGAAAAAGACTTCATGATTTGGGTTGGGGTAAGCTCTTATTACAAAATTCTAGAGTGGCGGAAATTGTTTAGCATTTGACATTTTACTCATGCGGACACTTCAGAGAATATAATATTTAATGAAAGGCACTATTGTCATTTTTTACTTTTAATTGGGAGAAGCTCTAAAGCAAATGTTGCGCACGAGAATATCATGTTTAATGAAAGGCCCTCTTGTTAATTTTTACTTTTAATTGGAGAGGCGCTAGAAGCGAACTGTTGCTCACGAACTATGATTTGACATTTAGTTAAGAAGAGCAGATTTTTTCTTTTTCTGGTTTAGGTTTTGAAATCCCAAAAGGGAGGAGTTATTTTATTTTATTTTTTATTTTGATGTGAAACAAATATTGATATGATGAAATATAAAAAAGGGGAACCCCAAAGAGCAGGGATTAAAAAAAGTCCTCCAGTTCATCAGAAGTTCATTTAAATTGTGGTTGGAGTAAGAAGAGAAGAAACATTTACATCAACTTAGTGCTGTGAACAAGACATAATCCTGAAAATTGTAGTAAGACTGAAATTTGCCATTTAAAGTCATGCTAACACTAGAGAAAGGCCCTTATAAATTGAGTCCATAAAACCTCCTTGTTTTGATGCTTTGAATCCTATTTTAGTCCCATGTATGATTTGTTTTTCTCTTGAACTTCTAAATGTTTTGTTTTAATGTAGCTCATGAATTTTGCATAGTCTTTCCCATTAAATTTTCATATAGTCATCCAACAGAAACCGGACACTAACATGTCTTTTGTTCATTTACTTGAGAGTTGATGTCTATATAGACAAGTATTTGACGCTAGATGTTGTGGGTCATGTAGTCGTTTTTTTTTATTATTATATTCGTGAGTGTCCGGACCAGCTTACATACACCTTGACTAATTTTATGAGACAATTGTTTGACCCTACTACATTTGGTTGTCAAGGAAACACAGGAAATTAATTCCTAAGTAGGTGGTCATCACGGGGTTTGAACTCATTCCCTCTAAATTATTTTGATTTACCTTGTCCCCTTTAGACCAATGAGCCAACTCATATGGTTGCGGTGGATTATGTCGTGTGTGTAGCAAGATAGTTTGTTAGGGACGAATGGACCCTTAGATTTGTTAGCAAGAATTGGACATTAGGTAAGGGTAGGTAGGTAGTATTGTGATAGTGTTGGCTCTCCTGCTCAAGAAGGGGAGCTGTTCATGTTCTTTGAATTATCTCTCTGACTCTCTCTCTCTCTCTCTCTTTTTTTTTGGTTGATAAAATCTTTCAATAGAATTTTAAAGATAAAGTATTATTGTTTGGTTCCAATTAGATAAAATAGTCCTTTACAGGCTAAAATTGAACACCTAAAAATATGGGGACTAAAATATAATAAGTATGAAGAATTATGATTTTGATAATAACAAAAAAAAACTTTCAAAATTGTAAGAAGGATTGTTATGGACAGATTGTTTACAGCATCACGTTTTTTAAAGTTATCAACAGACTTGCATCATTCATTGTTTTCCATGAAAAAGATAGTCTTGAGGCATTTCTAAGGACAGAATAACTCAATGCCATTACTTTATGAATTGTCAGATATCTTGATTTTTCAATTGCTTGTGAGGAAGTATGTTACACTGTCTTCTATTACGTAGATAATATAATTTTTAAAAGATTGTTCGAACTCATTCGAATAGATCAACAGTTCTTAAGAGCTTAGACCATGTTTCCCGAGTTAACTTGTGAAATAGTAGTCTGCATAGAATAAACACCTAAAAAATCCATAAATTCTGTTGGTTCATAGCTGATGTTGTAAACTGGACTAATTCTTCTCTCTTTTGTAACACTTGACAATTTATGCCCATTTCTCTCCCAACAGCTTGAAGGACTTCAAGAACTTCGCAGACACACTCGAGGCAGTCAAAAACAAAGGAGTAGTGGTTTCCGTTGCATCTCCCGAAGACGTCGAGACCGCAAACAACGAACGCCCCAGCTTCTTCCAAGTGAAGAAAGCCCTGTAAGGGAACCTCCTAGCTTCCAAAATCAACAAACAAAGAGAAGAACCAAATTGATTTCAGAGAGAAGGAAAAAAAGAAAGGAAGGAAAACAAAAAGGTACCAACTAGCATTACTGATTCATTTTCCCAATACTGTTATGACATGAACAAGATACTACATTCTTTCAGAAAAAATGAATAGGAGGAGACAAAAAATAAATATTTGAGCAGCTGGGAAATGATTTATGCGTACGGAATGGGATTTGATAGTTTCATCATTTTATGTGCTCTTAAATGCTGCAGTGGGCTGTGTTTATTGATATTGAAGAGAAGGAATGGGTGATGCTATTTAATTGTTGCGTCTTCTCTATTCACTTGCTCTGTCTTTCGCCCCCTCTCAATTAAATAGAAAGATGCATATTTATATACACATTCATTTCATTTTTGAATTCTCTTGGTTTCTCATTCATTTGGAAATTTAAAGGAATCAATGTTCAAACCAAGTTTAATGGCTTTTATTGAATGGTACAACTTTTCCTTTTTCAATTTCCATTTGTGGGTGATGAGATTTCTTTCCTTTTAGGTTAAAGTACAAATGTGGTTTCTATGGCTTTTAAAGCTCATTTTTAACTTCTGAAAAATTCATCTATTTCATTTTGTTTTTTTACTCCTATTACAGATAATTAATATAGTTAGTTAAATAGAAAACATCGGCTCATTGACGTGTAAAGGTAATTTGTTAATATGGTAATGACTTGGACGATAGGGATTAAATAGAAATTTTTAGATTGAAATCACGATTAAATTGTAGAGACTAAATTCAAATTAAGCTCAAATTATAGAGACTGAATTATAGAGATCAAATTGAAATTATGACTCAATTCGGTAGAGACGAAATTTCATGACTTATTTGGGTGAAATTACAATTCTAGTCCTTTTAGTTCATCTCTATGAACTAGTTTCGTCTTTTTATATTTTAACCATATTGGAATAAAATAAATCAGTAAACAAGTTATTTAATCGTCGTAAAAATTGGTTTAGAAGAAAGTATAATAGACAATATGAGAAACAGTAATTGATATGTATTCCTTCCTTCAAGGTCGGAAGTTTAATCATCCATATTCCCACTACAAAACAAAACAAAAAAGAAAGAGTGAAAGAAGTATAATAGAAAATCATGATTATTTGAGCTTATGATCAAAAGATTTATGTAAGCTCAAAGATGTAATGCAATGACAAAATTGASGTAACATCACTTTAGCTAGTTTTTCACATATTTGCAATCATAGGACATTAAATGTCACGTCAATTTTTTTACTATATATAATTGGGCAATTAATGTTTAATATGTGATTGATATTAATTAAAAAAATATATATTTTACTGATATTCTTATAAATATGATAGGAACTAGAACAAATGTACAAAATTGGTAGAATAGAAACTAGAATTGTAATTAATTTTAAGAAAAAGGTAGAATTATACATTATATAATTTGTCTATATATTTGTTTTAATTTTAGGGAAGTTTTGATATACTTAAATTTCAATCTTGGAAGGATGCTCTTTAATTTAGATTTAATAAATTATACTAACATGAATATGTATCAACCCTTTAAGATATATATTATTGATCAAAAAATCGAAAGGTTCGAAAATTATGGAAGACGTTAGCATCTTTAGGAAAATTAACTAAAATATTTACAGTCTTGATATTGATTTTACATAAAGTATATTACTCTTTAGGAAATAACATTTGACTTTCAATTGGTATGTGAGCCGAAGATTCCAACGGAACCTTTTAGTCGAGAATATTTAACTATGCTTAGGTTGATAATTTGGTGTATGAATTTGATTCATCCAACTAAATCACAATTTACTTAATAAAAATGAGAATAGAGGAGAGTTAATCCACATGATTTTTCTTATATTGAACTTATTAAAATTGTTTTGGTATTAGAAGAAAACAAAAAAAAAAGAATTGTTTTTTTTTATGGATTGTATTTTCCTCAATTATATGATGTAGTTAATTAAAATTATTTTTTAGTACAATAAATTAGAGTAGGTAGGTTTGAAACTCCGACTTAAAAAAAAAAGAATATATATCAATTACTGTTGACTACGTTCATGTTTGTTTGTCTAAATTGAATGAAGTAGTTACAAAAAGTAAATATAAAACATAATATTAAAAGAAAAAAAGAAAAAACATAGCCATTATGAAAGGTGCATTAAAGGTGCATTGAAATTTATTTTATTTGTTGACATTGATGAGAATCAATTTAACTTGAATGAGGCCATTTACAAAATTAATGATTAATGATAGAACATAGTATTGAAGGAATAATAAAAGAAAAAGGTCCCCAAACATAAATTGAAATAAGATGTCTAATATTTTATATTCATCTATTTACTCCATCATAATAAGTAATAGAAAAAACTCTTCCTAATTTTATTTTCCTATATCAAAAGAATATGTATTTTTTTTTTCATATTTGGAAAAATATTGAAGAACCAAAAATTTTCCTATGCCACAAGTAGTTCCTCTCAATTCATTACTTTAAAGAAACTAATTATGACATATTTAGATTAGACTTTGATTAATTCTTGTCTTACAAGCTAAAATAAAACATTTATTTATTTATCTTTAATTTTTAAATAAAAATAAAAAAGAAAATGAAAAATGAAAAAGAAAAAAAAAGGGGGTTGAAATTGTCATGATTATGAAGAAGTTGGAGGATTCGTATTTCCAAAAGCTGCCCAAAATCTTCGCAACGACTTCGTTAGAAGCAATAGAAAAAAAAATGGCGCTTCGAAGATTCACGAATCTCAACCGTTGAAACAAGATCGCCGGCACACCGTCACCGTCGCCGGTAACCATCAGAAGCGGCAACGCAACCACCTCTCCGTCTTCCTCTCGGATCTCTCATTATTCCTCGAGCCTTCGGTTTTGTCTCTCTCAAGAAATGGTTTAGGAGCGGCTATGGAAGCAGAGCTCAAGTTGGAGAGGGAGAGAGCGATGGGGGATTGTAAGCGAGTTGCGGTGATGGCGGCGGCGAATAATGCTGGTTGCATGTCTAAGAGGAGGAGAATTGCCGGTTCGCCGGAGAGGTTGCGGCCGTCGGCGTCTCTGTCTGACCTCGGCGACCGTCGTTTGTGGTTGGAGAATGCGCGGTCGTCTCTGTCGCGTTTGGAGAGTAATAATTCCCTTGGTGTTGTCGCCGGAGATGTGATGTGTGCTCCGGTGTCTTGTAGCTCCTGTAACGACGGCGGGAAGGCCACCGCGAAGGACGCCTTGAAATTCGAAGATCTGGAGGTGAATTTCGAGTTCTTGATTGAGGTGTCCTCTGTTCTTCGCTTGAGTTGGCCTTGGCCCTTTCCGATTGTTTTAATTTAATGGTTAATTTGAGTTTCTGTGTTTGGTTGACGAGAAAATAGCGGAGCAGAAGAAAAGAAAGTATTATTAAATTTTGCTTCTAGAAATTGGAAGCATTAAGAAAACAAACCGGTTCATAAGTCGTGTAGTCTAAATTTTCTACTGAAATTGAATTTAGATGAATTTTTCTTCATGTTACAGTGATTTTTTCCGGCGAATTCTTGTCAGTGAACAGATTTTTCGTTCATGCGTCGTTTCATTCTATTTGATTTGATTCTTCTTCTTTTTAAATAACGACTGTTTCTACAAAACGTTTGTTTAGATTTTGAGTCTGTATGTATTTATTGACATCTGTGTCTTCAATGCGCCATTGCAGCAGACCAAGAGCTTCGAAACCGTAGAATCGACTCGCGTTAACGGCATTCAAAGGTTCATTGCACTTAGTTTTCTTCCTTTAATTTCCCCTAACGAAACGGATTCTGAAACCGCTTCGTTTTCTCTTTCGCCATTTCTCACTCTGTTTCTGTTTCTAATTTAATTTAATTTGAACCTCTCAGAGAGAGCACTCCGACGAGCGAACTCCACGGAGAATCCGACGAAATGGACTCTCCGGCGGCGAACTTCTTGACTGAAAAACAGAAGCCAACTGATCGTCCGATGAAGACGCCGCCGATATCCGAGATTGAAGATTTCTTCGCCGAGGCCGAGAAGTACGAGCAGAAGCGTTTCTCAGAGAAGTGAGTACACCTTTTCCATCTCTGCTTCGGCGCACTTTAGCAAAGCCTGCAGTCGAACCTAAACCTAACTAACTTTCAACTTTTTCTTCTCCTTCTTCCGCGTTAATTGATTATATTTTCGCCTTCATCTTGTACAGGTACAACTTCGATATAGTGAAGGATGTGCCATTGGAAGGCCGATACCAGTGGATTCGTCTGAAGCCATGAAAACCAGCTAACCTCAAGCTAAAAACTCACGCCAGGATCTGGATTCTCGGATTTCTTCACATAATCTTAATTTCCATAGACTTTGACCTCTTTCCTTTTGAAGGACTCTGTTAGTTTCTTCTTGTACAGCTTTCAACTCCATAAAAGAAGCTCCTGCAACTAAACATCTCAGTATACAAACACCCATAGAAACCGCCGCCATTCCGCCGCCGCCGGCAACCACCGCCGTCCATCTTTATCATTTTCTTCAAGGAACTCAAAGCTGTTGTGTCTTTTCATCCATAATTGAGCACAGATTTCTGTAATTCTCACTTAAATTCACGACAAATGTTGCCCATATTGTTAATCACAGTTCGTTGTTTTGTCACTTTTTGAGCTTGCGTTCTGTATAAGAAAAGTCCGTTTTGTTTGAATGCTTATTGTCTGTGAAGAAAAATGGGAAACGTGTAATCTCCTCCTTTTGCATATTTCTGCATTTTTATGTTACGGAATGGATGTGCTGTTAAGATCTGAGAGCTATCTGCGGAATATTCCCTTTCAGAAAAACAAACAGGATATGATTCTCTCAAGGCGTGGAGGGGAAAAGATGAAGCAAGGGGAACCAATTTCTGGGGCTCAGCTCAACACAAACTTCCAATGCCTTTCAACTGTTCAACAGAAATGGAGAAAGGTAAACAACCCTTGTCCTTGTTCAAATTTTTTCTATTAGAAGTGAGACAAAATCTAATATTTGGGACAAAAATTTTCACTCTTTTACAGTAACTGGATCTTCTTTTGTCATCTTTGATAATGTCATTGCATTTAAAGATTAGAATATGATGAAATACATATGTTCTCATCATATCATAGAGTGACCCAAAAGTTTCCTATGATTCTAATGATTTGTGTTATTGTCCATTGATCTTCTGATATGAAATGGGTGAAAACTGAAAAGGGAAAAAAATAAAAACACATTTTTAGCCTTGTATTCAATTTTCTTATATTATTTGGTATATTAAAATGTGGGGTTACTATGACTGACTATACCCTGTAGCCTGTGGGTGTGGGTTATTTTATTTCAGAATCCCAATATTAAAAACTTTGCAACATTCTCCAAAATTTCAGACATGTTAGATTAGTTTAGTTTGAAAGTAGTATGATTTCTTTAAAAGATTTTGGGTCATAAAGATAAGACTTGAGAGGCTCAAATTTGGGCAACTCTTATTTTGATTTTGCTTTTAATTCTCCAAGACAGCTTACTTTACAGGGTGGATAATCAAATTGGCAGAATTGGGTGTTGTGGTGCTACACATGTCAAATTTCCAAATCACACTTGTATATTTTTTTCTTTCACAAATTATTGATTCAAAATAAAAAACAAAAATCTCTCTCCTCTTTTCTCACTTGTAAATGTGTTTGACGGCCATTAAATTTTGTGTTGTAAATAATAAATTAGTTATAAAAAGTGATGTAACTCCATTTTACACAATGATTGCTGCACAGGCCACAGTTTTTAAATCTTCAAAAATTCAATTTGGAGATGTTACCCACTACAACTTCAATAAATTGATTTTTTTTAAAGGAAATAAAAAAGGTTAAAAAGCCTTGAGTTGGGACTGGGAGGCTGTTTTCAGAACAGCCTTTTGTTTTTGAAATGTTTCTTAAAAATTATACGCTAAGGTTGATTATTGTTTGCTTGAATATCACAATTCAGATATCTTGAAATAAAATCCACTTTTGAAAATAGTTGTCAAATATTTTTCAATAATATCCGTTTTATTTCTACTTTTTTTTTATAGCATATAAATGGAACATTTTCAAGCAACACCGAATTGTATATTCTTTAAAGAATGATAGAATTATAGAAGTCAAACTATATATATATATATATATATATATATATCTTTTGTACATGCAAACATTTCAGAATTTTGGACAAGTTTACAACAAGAAAACAGTTAAAATTTTCATCTAATATTCAAAATTTCCCTCCCTTAAGTATTTGTTTTTTTTAAATAAATAAAGAAATAAACCAATTGAATTTTGGAGTGGGAGAATATGAATGATGCAGGGAAGAGGGGTGCACGTGGAGTGGAGTGGGGGTCTCCCCAGCGGCAGCGCCTTTGCTTTGGATCTGCTGCCTCTTATTTATTTATTTATTTCCATTAATAATTATTCCTTTTTTNAAATCGGATTGGGAGACAGAATGTTGCTTTCTATTGAAGGAGGTTGGTTCCTTCTTTCCTTCCTTCCAATGTTTTCTCTTTCTTTTTTCTCACTTTTTCTCTTTCACCAAACTCATAAATATTACTCTTTCACCAAACTTAATTATTTCAATAATCTCTTAATGATTATAACTATGATTCTGAATGTTGGGTTAAATTATAAATTTAGTTAAAAGATTTGAATCTCCAAATTTTGAGGTTTCTTTCTTATAAGATTTTTTTAAAAAATATATATTTATTAGGTTTCTAAATTTTTTTTTTTGAAAATGGGTTTCTAAACTTTTAATACTGTGTTAACCAATTTTTTAATTTTAAATCTATAAACTTTCAATTTTGTATCAAAAGAGTGCATGAAAAAATTAGAAGATTATGTTGCATGAAAAAGGTAGAAGATTTTGTTTTCTTTTATTTGAGAATGGGTAAAATTATTTAATTTTGACTTTTTGACCTGGATGGAGTACATAACAACTTTCAAGGACCAATTCTATATCGAGATATGAGAGTATGAAATTTATAATTTTAATCTACATGTAGGGAGTCAGACCATTTTCTTTTGAAATGATAATACACGTTTTTTTTTAGTACAACATGTGGGGTGGAGGATTGAACTCACACCCTCTTGGTTGGAGATATATATCAATTAACGTTAACTATACTCGATTTGATAAACTTTATTCACTTTGAGTTATGTTGGATATATAGTTTAATTATCATTATGATTATAGACTTATGGTTAGAACAGTATTTAAGTTAACGATGACGGATTCTTCATTTCCAAAAATGCTATAGTTTTAGTATTTTTGGAAAACTTTGGCCAACCAATGATTCATCATTAGATACATAATATCAAATATCATATTAATTATAGTGGGGCCAACAAAAAAAATGGCCAGCAGTACCATTGACAAAACGTCTTTTTTTACTTAAAATAAAATAAATTATTATTTTTTATACTGCACGTTATAAATGAATATCGAATTAGATAAAATTTTATGTTAGAAATTAAATTTAGACGGAGAAAAGAAAAAAAAAATAAAAAGAGTGATTATCTCCCCAAGATTGTGGAAGCTACCCATATTCATAGAGTTATAAGGATCTTAACCATTTGAATTATGMTTCGTTTGGTAAATGAAGGACATATTAAAATTACATTTGATAGTTGATTCGGAAATATAAATCTGAAAACAAGAGATTAAATGAAAAATAGAGTTAGTATTCCATTTTTCATTATTTTATAATATGTGTTTGGTAACAGTTTTGAAAATTGAATCTCAATTTAAAAAAACTGTTCAAGGTGTGTTTAATAATATATTTGCAAACTAGTGATAGTTACCAACTAATTATTTAGTACAATACTACCATATTGTTAATTAATTTTAAAACATGAATGCTATAAATTTTGTATAATTTTTATTTTACAATATTATATAATTTAAAATATATCATGGTTTACTTATTTTGATTTTTTTTAATTAAATGAATTTATAACATAATATATTTATCAAAATTTTTATTTTTAAGATGTAATTCTGCATTTTAAAATTTCAAATTCGAAAAATCCTATACCAAACAATATTTACTGAAGTTATTCAATTAAATAAATATGAAAACAATAAATATAATTCTTCAATAACTTTCCATATATTTATACATTTATTTGTAATTTTAGGGACATTTTGTTTTTTTAATAATATATTTGATAATATAAAACTTTATTTATAAGGGATAAGGATGCTATCAATGACAATAGAGAAAAATGTCCAAATAAGAAAAAGAAAAAAAAATTCCAATTTAGATGGTTGTAAAATAGGTGGTCTCTAAACTTAATCCCAACACTTATCTTGTTGTCAAATCAATCATCTTATTTGTTTGAGAATCTATGTTTCAATTGAAATAAAAAGATCTTAATTTTATAGGTTGAATTACTTTCTTAAACTTTAGATTATACTAATTAACAAAATGCTACAGATAATTAATTAGGTAAATTTTGATGGATTTAACATGACACAACAATTAACAAGCCAAGAGCTTATACTTTTTCATGTTCAATAATAAGTACAAGCCAATTTTACTTAAACATCTATTACCTTATTTTATTTTGAAGGTGAAGGTTCAATACTCCATCTACCAATTTTTTTTCTTAATTTGATTTTTCAATATTACCATTTTGAAAAAATATTTTTGGCCCATATGATAATTTTTGTCACTTTATTAAGATAATAACAAATGTTGTACATGTTTTTAATCGAGCATAACTCTTCGTAACATTACTTACCTCCCTAAATATTAAAAATTAATATCTCCGTACCTTGTTTGATGGAAAAAAAAAACAATCTCGTCATATTGATAAATTTTCAAGTATACCTAACCAAGGGTATAAATTGTAGGAGTGAAAAAATTTTGGTCCGCYTCGGTTTTCAGGCAGAGAGGAAAAATCGAAACTGGTTCGATTAAGAAGATATGAAAATGGAACCGATTCGGTTAAAAAATTGAACTGGTTCAGTTCACATCCAATCTCTTTTTTTTTTTCAATATTTTTTAATAAGCCACATTATCTTCTATTCCAATTTGAGGAAAAAAAAAACCAAAACTTGTGAAGTTGTAATGGCCTCAAACTTGTTTGTAGCCTTATATATACTTTTGCAACAACGATAAAAATGTGATCACATAACATCAAGCCTAATATAAACTTTTTGAAGTTTAAAGATAATGCCTAAAAGTTAAAACATATTCAACAAGATTCTAAATATATTTTAAAGTAAACAAACGTTCCAATATTGAAATTTACAAAAATCTGGTCTCACTAGTTCAATCTTGATTTCCATCGTCACTCCAATTCCATTACTAGACTTCGAAGTCTTAAAAAAAAAAGAATTCTTACTTAATATGCTTGTATACTTCTTACAATTTGGTTTTCGGCTCGGTTCGACTTTTTTCATCCCTAAATGTATAATACTTGTTAGATTTAGCCTAAAATACCTCATTTGTATATTGACTTTACATACATGTTCAAAATACTAGGAACCGTATTCGAGGGCACATGAGCTTGCCAAATAAGCCCAAAAGGCTAAGGCCTCTTTAACTGGAGGTTAATGGGCTTAGCGTAGAAATCTTCTGAGCCCATTGAGCCCAGGCCCAGCCTCAGGCCCAATCCAGTTTTCTATCTCCTCTTCATCCTGGTTATATAGCTGAGCCTGAGCCCTGAGCAGCCTGTGGTGGCCGGTTTGAATTCAAATCGAAGCGCAGAGCTCTCTGTATTGGCGCTCCAAAATCTACGTGGCCCACCACCAAGAAATCGAACCCAGGAAACTTCAGTTGAACGACGCAAATACAACAACGGTCAGATTCTTCCCTCATTTTCTTGATCTCTTTGCCGATTGATTCCACAAACTGAGGGAAGTGAAGAGTGATCTTTGGCTGCTGTTTCGATACCAGAAAAATGGTGGAATCGAACCTGGCCTACGAGGAATGCCGACGCCAGAGGTTGGAGGAGAACAAGAAGAGGATGGAAGAGCTTAATCTCAACAAGCTTGCCGATGCTCTCAAATCTTCCAGCCCTAAGTCCTCTCCGGTAGGTTTCCGTTCTTCAAAACGCTTCCTAATCCAACATCTTCCACCATGATAATGGATTTAGAGTTTTATTTCTCTATTTGGTTATGGAAGACGAAGCAGCTGAAGCGTCCTCGCCGCCCGCTCGATGTCTCGTCCGTCAGTGTGAGAAGATCCAGCCGTTTTGCGGATAAGCCCCCTCCGAACTATAAGGAGGTACGAGCTGGCCTCTGAGCTCTACATTTTGAATTTGACACCATTTTTTGAAATAATGCTTCAGTTCTTGAACAGTAACCTAGTTTAAGCATTTACGTGGATGATTTTGAATACAATGAATAAAAGTGTAGCTTAATGTTTGTCAGTTTATGATTTAAGCATTTACATGAATTATTTTGAATAGTCGTTTTTCTTTCTTGGTGGGGTTTTACAATGTAGCTTAATCCTTCGATCTTATTGGCCTTTCCAGGTGCCCATTGAACCACTTCCAGGTGTCAGAAGGTATGCACGAACTTCAGTTTCAAATTACTGTCTTGGACTAATTAGTGTCTTCTAACTCAAAAGGCAACAATAATTTTAATAGGATATATCAACGGAGAGATTTGTTGAGTCGAGTTTATGCTTCACAAGAAGAAAGGCAATATGCAGTTGACAGAGCACTGGAACTTCAGTCTAGCTTGGAATCTAGGTACCCAAATTTTGTGAAGCCCATGCTTCAGTCACATGTCACCGGGGGATTTTGGCTGGTCAGTCTTTTAGATCATTTTACTGAATTTGTAAGCTTTGATTGGTTATATATAGCCTATAAAATGCTTGTGAGAATTTTCTTATAGGGTCTTCCAGTTCAATTTTGCAAGACGCACCTTCCCCTTGAGGATGAAATGATTACTCTGGTGGATGAGGATGAAAACGAGTTCCAAACTAAATACCTCGCCGAGAAGACGGGTCTTAGCGGTGGTTGGAGAGGGTTTTCCATGGATCACCAGTTAGTAGATGGGGATGCTGTGGTGTTTCAGTTAACTAAGCCAACTGAATTCAAGGTGATTACTTGGAAAATTTCATTGCCCGATTGAAATATTCTGCATTGGCCAAAGCTTCTTCTCATGTGACTCCAGTTTGATGGGTACATGCACAAATTTTCCAGCACATTTAATTTGAGGTTTAGCGCATAGTTGTATGGTGTCTTGCATATAGCATGGTTCATATCCAAGAGAGTTTAATACAAGACACTTGAACAGTATAGCTTCTTCAAAATCTATAGGAGACGATAGAACTTTCTATTGCATGAGAAACACCTAAAGAGAAGGGGAAGTAGATTTTGGGTAGTGTAGAGAAGTTTTTCCTTGAAGAAGCATGATGAATTTTGTCCAAAATAAACTTAAAACCCTTGTTGTTTCTTGAGTTGACCTTAGGTTGGTAGGTGAAGCGTGTCTAGAACTCATGAGCATAATATAGCTGCTAGTTCCAATACTCCGGTTATTTAGAATTAAGAAAAAACAATCCACAAAATGATTCTCCTTTCCTTTTTCATTTCCTCATTATTGGTTAGATTGAGAATGCAAGTAAAGTCCCACATTGACTAGATAATGAGAAGATCATAAATATAAGAAACTAAACGTAAATTCACGAGAGCTGGATGATATTATACGGTCAAGTTTCAAAACCTATGATTAAAAAAGTTCCTTCCCTTTCCAAGTTGTGAACATCCTTGCTCATGTACGAAATTTGAGTAATAAATATCTATACTAATGACCTCAGCTTTGCCACTCATAGGTATACATCATCAGGGCATATAATTCCGAAGACAAAAAAGCAGACACCAAAGAGGATTCCGATGTCTCTCAGGTGGAAAGAAGCGGCAAAAGAACTACTAGATCAGCAAGTAAAGGTCTGGTTATAACGTAGCTGTCGCATGTTTTTAATTGGTAATGATGTCTGAAAAGAGACTCGGATTTCAGTTTTCATTTCTCATATTCATTGGTAATTTGTTTTTTTTCTCTGAGATAATATTCATTGGTAATTTGTTGCTTTTTCTAACAGGGAGAAAATAGCTCAAAGCGTTGCCTTTGCCACGTGGCTTGTGACAAGGAGAAGTATCCAAGACTTTTTGGGAAAAAGAGAGTTTTCAGGATATTTTGTCAGTCTTAGCTCTCTCTAGATATATTTTGTCAGTCTTAATATATTAATGAAATGATCATTTTTTTATGTCTCTGTCTCTCTGAGTCTTTCTGTTGAGTTCTGAATGGTTCATTATATGGAGGCTAAATATAGCTTCATCAATCTTGGGAATATAAATTTTCTTTACAACTCATTGATCAACAGGTGGAAACTTTAAATTAGTTATTATTATTATTTTTTTTATATCTTTTTTAGTTTTAACAAATCAAAATTTCTATTTCGATCTTTTGGTTTCCGACCTAGGTTGATAATCCATTTAACTCTATTTAATTCTTTAGTATTGCAAAGGTTCAATTATTTTTGGTTCGTTTTGAAAGTAGTTTTTCAACCTAATTACAAAAGTTGAGATGGCCGAGTTGGTCTAAGGCGCCAGATTAAGGTTCTGGTCCGAAAGGGCGTGGGTTCAAATCCCACTCTCAACATTTATTTTATCTTTTCCATTTATTTAATTTTCTTTCTTCTCTTTTATTTAATTTTGAAATTTTTAATTTAACTCTTTTATCTAACTTTGATATATATATTTTTCTCTGTTATTAAAGAAAATATATCAAAACTAAAAAAAAATTGAGAACATAGGTCACAATATTTAGTAAGCTAATAATATTAAGTTGTTGCGATTTAACTATAATAACGGAATAATTATCCATAATGTTGTGTTGACATTTAATTTAAAAATTATTTATAAGATAATTATTTAAAATTTTATATAATTTTAAATTGCAAAATAATGTATTGTTTATTTTAAATTATTTGATAAAAGATAAAAAAACAATTTTTTTTTAAATTGTGACGAACAAAACGTTAAAAGAATTAAATATAAAAATAAGAAGAAATTAAATCAGATAAAAACGTAGAAGCAAAAAATTGATTTTCTTGAAACAATTTAATTAGATAGAGATAGAATAATAATATTTAAAAGTTTGTTAGTAAATATTCCAATTTCTAAAGTTAGTCTTAATCGAATTTTGTAAATCAATGGGATTGAAAAAACTATTCCATTTAAACTAGCCTATGAACATGTTCATAGCTTGAAGAGTCGAATATAAAAGAAAAAAGGATGGTTGTGGTTGAAACTCGATATGGAGTTATGTTTTCAAGATACTTTTGTCAAACTAGTGATGCCATGTATCATTCTTTTTTTATTCTCATCCAGTATCTGACAACGAAACCATATTTTTCATTATCTATTTGTTTTGTGTGTAGAAAGTTTTTTCACCTTGAACGAGGTATGGGGAAAAAAGTAAATTATCAGCATTAAAATTACAAGATTGAAGTTCGTGGATCACTGAAAGATCCTTATATTTTACTACGATACTTATCCGTCAAGAAGATGGTGGATTATCAACCGTGGGGACTCTAGTAAATGATATTTGCAATTGTATTACCAATCAAGAAAGGTAGGCTTTAGTCATAGTTGATGAGAAGGATACCCTCTCACTCGAGAGATAAAGACATTCTATCATTATTCATAAAAGTTGATATTTTGATGCTAGCCTCGGGCTGAAAGAAATCATTTTTAAAAAAGTTATTGATGTTTAATCCATATTTTTTTTCAAAGATAATGTCTAATCCATACTTTAATTGTATGTGTGGACAAAAATTAAAATATTCAACCTTATTTGGTATGTGTTGGTTGATAAATTTGGACCAATAATGCATTTACATTCTTTTGCAAGCAACTTGATCAAATTGGGTCATACGAAAATTGAGCTAGAATCAAATAAGTTCAAAGTCATGGTAATTTGGCCCAAAGCTTAAATTAACCTAAGACCATTATAGTGGTTAATAATGGACTTAGGATCAAATTTAAATAATTCTAAATTTAGGGAGAAAGTAGCGCAAAGCATTGCCTTTGACACGTGGTTTGTGGTAGGGAGAAGCAACCAAGACTTTTTAGGAAAAAGAGAGCAGAATATTTTGATAGTCTTAGCTCTCTCTAGATTGTTGTAACATTAGGGAGGATAATATTAATATGTTAATGAAATGATCCCTTTATTTATGCTTGTGTCTCTCTAAGTCTTATTGTTGAGTTCTGGATGGTTCATTATATAGAGGCTTAATATAACATTTATTTAACCGTCGAAAACTTAAAATTTGTTATTTTTGTTTATATTTTTTTAGTTTAACAAATTTGGAATGGAGAATAAAACTTTCACTTTGGACGTTTGTGGAAGGTTTAGATGCTTTTTAACTGCTAAATTATGCATAGGTTGCTTATCAAGTTTAACTTACATTTGATTGTTTAGAGTTGCAAAAGTTATTCATTTTCAAAATAATGTATTTTTATAGATTTAATAATTTTCCAAGTTTATCAGTAATTGTTGAGATGGCTGAGTTGGTCTAAGACGCCAGATTAAGGTTCTGGTCTGAAAGAGCGTGGGTTCAAATCCCACTTTCAACATATATTTTTATGGCTTTTTAAGCCTAATGAATCAGATTCAAAAAGAAAAATAAAAAAAAAAGCCTAATGATTGGTAATTTAGCCCAAAGTTCAAATTAGGCCGGGTATGCTTGAGAGTGAGAGTGATTTTGGGAATGCAAAAATCACTTTTGACTGTAGATTAATAATGGACTTAGGAACAAGGATCAGACCTATGACCCAAATGAGGCGCAAGTCTAAAGATCATTAAAGTTCAGACCCACTAAAATTCATGTAAAATTTTATAAAGAGAGGAGCCGCACCTCATTTCAAGGATTTAGAAGCAGTATTCAGAGAAGACTCAAGAGTTTGAAGATTAAAGATTTCTAAGATTAAAAGACTTTAAAGATAAAAGACTTCGAATACCAACCGACTTCAAAGATCGAAGATTTTGAAGATTAAAAAGAAAAAAACTTCGAAGCCTTGAAGACTATGAAAATCAAACACTTAGAAGACTAGTAGACTTTAAGATCACTTTGAAGATCGTAATACTTCAAAGACAAGTTTTAGGCATTTTTAAAGCATTCAAGACATTGTTCGACCCGATCCAAAGAAGTCAGCATGTCCAAAAGCTCGTTCCAAAAGGATTGACAAAATTCAAAGATCAATTCAAATCAACAAGCTCAAAAGTTGATCCAAGAGATCATAAGCCAGGATGTCGATTCAAAGAAATCAAGAAGCCAGAATTTGAAGACCTCGAACAACTTAGAAACCAAAGAGTTCAACGTCCTTATTTTGAGAACAAGTTTTTCGACCCTTTGACTCAAGTTTACGTCGAATAGAAAGAATAAGAGGAACACACACTAAAGATTGTATCTCCTATACAGGTTAATACAAAACAAAATTCAAACTCCAGGAATAAAATTTTTCTAAAAATCTCATGTCACCAGTATGGTTCAATTTTTGTTAACAAGTTCTAATTATTATCCAAATATTGTTTAAATAAGTTATTGGAAGTAGGAAAAAGAAATATATATTGAAAGAGAGTTGATAATTAGTGCCTAATCCGTAAAATGTGAGAGATGGGCGAGTAGTGATTTTAAACTAAGGTCAATAAAATATATAAATTTCATACCAAATTTTAGGATTTGATTGAGCTTAAAAATGTGGGGCAAAAATCCAACACTATTTAGTATTTTATATAATTATTTCTTTAGTTACACAACATATTTCATTAAACATTGGGCCCATTGGGCCCAGGTCCAGGTCTAAGCCCATACCTGAGCCCAATTTAAGTTTCTGGAAGATTTCCGTGTAGTTCTTCGTTTTCTGCTCTCCTCCTTACGCTTCCAGTAATCACTGAGGTTTTAGGGTTTTCGGGAACAGAAATGGCGTCTCTCATGGCGGTCCGGCGTGCTCGAATCCCCATACTTGCCTCCTCCTTCTTCAAGGTACGGCCTCCTCTCCCTTCTCATTTCTCGTTCTCTTGCGGAAACCAGACGGAGACCCCAATCAAAGCCCTAAGCACCTCGGCGATTCCTAATGATTACTCTAATTTTTCTCCTTCGCCGCAACAAAATCCTGCATCCGATCCTCGATTTCTTCAGGGCCGGAGAACGCCTGGCCAGTGGGGCACGCCGAGCCAGGTTCATCCCCCGAGTGGAAATTTTAATAATCAGTCGTTCTCGGAGTTTCAGAATCGCGACTATGTCCAACAGGGAAGCGCTGGTAATCAGATGAATTATCAGAGTCAGAACCGGCGCTCTCATCCGAATCCTGGATTTTCCCAGCAGGGTCAGGGCTATACTCAAGCCGGTAACCCTAATTCATGGAATCCTCCGAACCAGAGCTATCCGCAGAATCAAAACCCTTCGTTGCCTTCGTTGCCGAACCCTCAAAATTTCAATTATCAGCAACAAAGAGGCCCAAACCAATGGAACAATCAAAATCAGGGGTACCCACAAGTTGGAAATCCCGCGCAGCGGAACCCACAGGTTGAGAATTATAATCAGCTGAATAATCAGGGTGGGGTTCAAGGACATGGTGCTCAAACTCAAGCACCAAATGCCCTTGTACCTCCTATCGATGAACTGCGGCGGTTGTGTGGAGATGGGAAGATTAAAGAAGCCGTTGAATTGTTGAAAGAAGGTGTTAAGGCTGATGCTGATTGTTTCCATGTGATGTTCGAACTATGCGGGAAATCAAAGTCTTTTGACAATGCAAAAATAGTTCATGATTACTTTTTACAGTCAACTTGTAGAGGCGATCTGCAATTGAATAATAAAGTGCTTGAGATGTATGGAAAATGTGGAAGCATGAGTGATGCACGGAGAGTGTTCGACCATATGCCTGATAGGAATATTGATTCGTGGCATTTGATGATAAAAGGATACGCGGATAATGGATTGGGTGATGAGGGTCTGGAGTTATTTGAGAATATGAAGAAGCTGGGATTGCAACCCAATTCACAAACTTTCCTTTATGTAATGTCAGCTTGTGCTAGTGTGAGTGCTGTGGAAGAAGGATTTATGTACTTTGAGTCTATGAAAAATGACTATCATATCGTCCCTGAAATGGATCACTATTTGGGGCTTTTAGGTATTCTTGGCGAACCTGGACACATCAATGAGGCTTTCGAGTATGTCGAAAAACTGCCCATGGAGCCCACAGTCGAGGTGTGGGAGACTTTGAAAAACTATGCTAGAATTCATGGAAATGTTGATCTTGAGGACTATGCAGAGGAGCTAATTGTTGCTTTGGACCCAACAAAAGCTCCTCCTAACAAAATACCTACACCACCTCCCAAAAAGCGGTCTGCAATTAGCATGCTTGATGGGAAGAACAGGATTGTTGAATTCAGAAATCCAACTCTCTACAAAGATGATGAGAAGTTAAAGGCTCTGAAGGCAATGAAAGAACAAGGGTATGTGCCAGATACTAGGTATGTACTTCACGATATCGACCAGGAGGCAAAAGAGCAGGCATTGCTGTATCATAGTGAACGATTGGCAATTGCATATGGCCTGATCAGTACTCCAGCACGAACGCCTCTCAGGATCATTAAGAACTTACGGATCTGCGGTGACTGTCACAACGCCATCAAAATCATGTCTAGGATTGTTGGGAGAGAGTTAATTGTAAGGGACAACAAACGGTTCCATCATTTTAAGGATGGTAAATGTTCGTGTGGGGATTACTGGTAAACCCATCAGATTACAACACTCCACAACATGTCCTTGATGAGTTCATCTCCCAATATCAGCATCTCGATGTAAAGTTTTAAACCATCAAATTCCTTATGCTAACCCTGGAACAAGGTACCGGTCGGAGATGAGCTAGCCATTGATTTATAATGTAAGGTCTGCTTATTCTGATGCTTAATCGTTCGTCGTATTATCATTTTTTTTCTTCTTTTACTGCTGTTCCCTGTTGATCTGAATTGGAAAATGCTAGTTTTCTTCTCACTGAATTGGCAAAAGAAGACATCCCGGTGGCATACCTTGAATTCTAAAAAATTTTCCTGGTTCCAAATGTGGCAACTTATCAAACATTTTAAGGAGGCATGCTTTGGGTTTAGTCCTGCAAAGCATGGATATAACTCCCCTTTTAGCATCCATTTCTGATTCTCTCTACTTCATTACAGTTCTAAAGATCATGAACAGTAGTTTCTGTTTCATTTCTTTAAACATTACAGGTCACTTCCTCTATGATTCTTTATACTACTCAGTAGGGACTGTATAATAACTGGACGCTCTCCCACACAAAAATTTTGCATTTTGGTGCTGAGTTTCCATGGTTTGTTAACCATGTAAAGGAAGTTTTTCCTTTCCTTGTCACTGTTATTAAATTATAGGTTTAAACCTTACCCTAATCCGTATATTTAATTTTACTAAGTGGGTCTGATTCTTGAAGTTGTAAAACATCAACAATGTCTCAACCTTTTCGGTTCTTTTAAGAATATCATTACATTATTGCTCACTTTTTTCTGAAAAATATATGGTAGTATGATGGGATCTTATGCTTGATCGACTTATTTGAGCATCTAATGACAAATGCCAAACAGTAGAATTTGGACTTGTTTAGAAAATTATTTTCTAAAAGTTATTCTATTTTGGAAAATGAATGGAACATAATGTAATACCTTATGCATGGTTGACATGTTTATAAAGTTCAGAGTTGACATAGTAAAATAAAAAATTGAAGAATTTGGAAATAGTGGTGCAAGTTTAAATCCAAAAAATAAAATAATAATAATAATGGTTCGATGCATTTTCTAATATTATTGGTTGCAAAAACCATGTTTATCAAACTCATACATAATGCCAAATACTACACTTAGTAAACTAAGATTCATTGAAATTATGAGCTATGTAATTATTTATTGGTTTGAACCTTTTGTGAATTGAAAAATTAACGTTAGATTTTAGCTAAATCCAACTGCCAGATAAAATTGACTATGAAAATTGAAATTAAAATCAACAATATCAATTCAAACCTAAACCCATTTTGTAATTTTATACATTATACGTACTTGACGCTCAAGTCTGCTGATTCATCACTGTTGAGCATATCATATATAATTAAGTCGGGTAGCAAGCACCACAAGTTAAAAAGCACTCAGACAAATGTGAGACAAATGTGAGAATATGAACAAGATCTTCAACTTCAGATAAAGTAGAAGTGATTTATTAGAAGTAGCTATAGTTGCAAATTAAGACACACTTCTTTGAAAGTTTGATAAATATACAAAGAAGATCCAAACTTTCAAGTTTCAACCTTAGGATTTTTCACTTTACATGAACACTTTTACATCCATAAAACGCCATTAAAGAAAGAGCCCTCAAAGCTTGAACTCAGCTCCTAAGCCTACTTTACAGAGCGAGTCATCATAGTCATGAACTCATCAATGTCCACCATGCCGTCGCCGTCGCTGTCCACCGCCCTCACCATCCGCCGGCAGTCCTCGAGGCTACAGTTTTCCCCCAATCCTCTCAATACCCTCATCACCTCCTCCGCACTTATCTTCCGATCGCCGTTCAAATCGAACGTTCGGAACGCATACTCCACCTCCCTCGCCTGAACTCCGCCGCCACTCCGGTGAACTTCCATGAACTCGTTCAAATTTATGAACCCATCGCCGTCGCCGTCCACCGCCCTGAAGATCTTCTGCACCTCTTCCATTGAGTTCCCCCTCCCCAGGGCCTTCAGAATTCCCCTGTACTCCTGCTTCGAGATTCTCCCGTCTCTGTTCGTGTCGAACTTGTTGAAGATCTGCTTTATCTCCTCCGTGCTCGGCTGCAGCGCCCGCCGGAGGCCGGAGCTCTGCCGGTCTCTGAACGAGAACAGCCGCGACGGTTCTCGGAGGAACTTTTTCTTCGACACGTTGTACTGCAGGTTCATAAGATTCAGGTTCGTCGGCATTTTCTCTCCTTTTTCTGATGGGTTGCTCTGTTTTTTGCTTTTCTTGAAATTTCAGATGGACCCAGATGGATTTGAGGGCTTAAACACTGAATTTCAAGGCTGGGAAAAACTTGGGTTGCTCTGTTTTTTGCTTTTCTTGAAATTTCAGATGGACCCAGATGAATTTGAGTGCTTAAACACTGAAATTGGAGGCTGGGGAAACTTGGGTTTCTCTGTTTTTGTTGAAACAGGTGAATATTGATCTTGAAATTTCATTAGAACCCAGATGGATTGAAGGGTTTAAATACTGAAAATAGAGGTGGGTGGGGGGATAAGGGTTTTGAATTTTGATTGGTTGAAAACTTGTGGTGCTATGGAGACTGTGCGTTAAGGGAAGGGACAAGCAAGCACAGAATATGTATAAAAGTAGAAGATCCAAAAAACAGAGGTAGAGGGAAAAAAAGAATATGGTTCTCTTTTAACGAAGTTTCCACTTTTCGTTCTCTCTTGTTGTGAGCCTCTAAACTTGGTTTCTAGGGTTGATTTTGACCCACATTTTAACTTTTTTTTTTTACCCCAATACCTAGCTCAGTAAAAAGTCGGTTAATAAATTTGAGTATGCATAACGTTGGTTTGATCGATAAACATTAGTGTTGCTTGAGGTCATACTGATTTATATAATTCACGAGATTAACAAACTTATAAACAATGATAATTAAACTCATATACTAAATATAGGTTTAGTCGAGTCACCGATTTTGTTGGGAGTATTGTSCTGTCATATTGTAGGTGGATATACTCCGCAACAATTTTACAATTTTTTCTTATAGAGTACCTCAATGTGACATGAATATGAAAAAGATTCGTTTCTTTTTAAAGGGCTAACATCTATCTTTAGGGTTGAATTTGGTTATTTTTCTTACCAAAATTTAGGTATTTTATTATCCAGGTTTGATGTGCTTAACTTTTAACTTAACTTTAAAAAAGGTATTAATTTAATCATTWATTCAATTTGATAAAATTAAGATATGAATATTAAATTTTGACTCACCAAATTAAGGAAGGAATATATCAAAAAATAAATAAAAATAAAAAATAAAAACTTGCCATAGACTAAGAAGTTTAGAAGGGCAAGTTGAAAAGGAATCTTTGAAAGCAAGAGGATGTTTATAGTGATCTTAATAAAGGAAGCCTTGGGAATAAAAGTCTACTTTTTGAAGAATGATTGAATAAAATATTCTTGTGGTTGTCCTCCTTCGTATGCACCAACAAGAAGGAATGTTTTTTTTGGCTTTTGTTAAAAATCAATGAAATCAAATATTGAAAAAGTAGCTTACTTGGCGATAAAAGATAGAGTTTCGTAACTTAAGATGCTTCAAATATGTATGTTAAAAGTTTAAAGTTATCGTCCAAGTGTATCAATCGAAACCATTGAGAATGTGTTCCTTTACTATGCAAAAAGAATAATAGTTGATCACATCTTTGTCGTTAAGAGTGAAATTTATAAATCTTATTTTTCAATTTTAGAGACAGTTGAAAGGTTAAATTATACAATTATCTGTATACCTTGAGCATTGTGCCTAGTTAATCTTGAGCTTAAAAGGAGTATCAATTACGTGACACGTCCTCAAACTTTGAGCTATGCTTATCTTGATTCGTGTTATTTTTATGATAGATGRAATCTTAACATGACATTCTATTAAGATAAAATTGGACGAGAGAACGTGATTCGATGAAAATTAAATTAGAAGGGTGTTGAGTCAGGTRAGTATGGGGAATCAATGCTTGAAATGATGGAAAAAGCAACGAATTATAGCACAAATGAATAGTAAAGAAATACTTACTTTTTCACTTGAATACTTCATCAAACAATGTTAACAACTCTGGACAAAAGATGAACAAGATTCAACATTTTAAAATGTAATCGAAACTTTTAAATTTAAGAACGAAATAGACACAATACGTCGAAACAAAAAGGTAGRAAAATGCAAATTTTATGGAATTAATTGAATCTTTTTGAAATGAACAAATATGCACAATGTTTATAATACTAAAACAAAATTTGTAATTTTACCCAATTTTAAACATATATATATTTTTTATATCCATGAGTGTTCGGACTACTTTATGCGCACTACGACTAATCTCACGGGACAACCATTCGATTCTATAATATTTGGTGGGAAATACRTARGAATTACTAATTCATAAGGTATGTGACCATCATGRGATTTGAACTCATTCTCTCTTAATTAATCCTAGTCCTTTTGGACCAATGAATCACCCATGACGGTTTACCCAATTTTAAATATTGAGGTAAGGCAAGAACTAACATCTTCGACCTTTTGATTGAGAATRTATRCTGTAACAAGTTGAGTTAGGTTCGAGTTGACRAGTTTCATCCTCACAAATATACAAAGTTACCCTACTTAAGAAGGATGATCGGCTTGGCTTCAGAATAAAGTTTAAAGTTCAATTTCTTTGGGAACTCCAAGAATCAATCCAAAAAAAAAAGAACACCAAAAAAGCAAAAGCAAATTGAAACTCTATGCACCTTATGCTTTCTACAAATAGTAATTAGGCAAATTACCAATCAATCAATTAGATGATAATATGGAGATAATATGATACTCATACTAACAGCAAATTCTGCAACAATTATTGCAGAAACTCTGCCAATTACAAAGCCCCCTTTTTTTTTTAATCTTTAAGTTACACTCTAAGCTTTATATATTCTCTTCCATCCTTTCAGGTACCCATTTGGATTTTTGATTCTACAACCTAAAAGTCAAGAAGATAGAGAAGAATGAAGAATGTTGGTTAAAGCTGTACAGAATAGAGAAAAAGAGAGAGAGGAGATAGAGAAGCATCTGTTAATGCAGCCAAACTTGAAGAACTAAGTTTCGGTTTCTTACTCGACGTGTATGCCTCGCTTCTGCAGTGCTCCGAGAGCTTTCGACTTCAGATCGTTATTTTGGAGAAATCTGTCAGACACAAAAACTCATCAATCAAAACCATAAGATCGTCTGTGTGGAGTGAAGGGGAACAATGTGTCGTATTGTATTTTACTCCTCCATGGTTGTTCAACATTTCGGTTATGAATATCSCCTTCCTTGGATGGATTCCAACAAATGAATAAACCCAGCCATCATCAAGCAATTGAAAACCGGTGAAAACAACTACATGTGCAAACTTATTACGAGTYTAGTCTCGAAACTTTCATAGTTGTGTCTAGTTACTTGAACTTTAAAAAGTATCTAATATGTCCCTAAACCTTCAATGTTGCGTCAAATAGGTTCTTAAACTTTTAATTCTGTGTGTAATAAGTAATGACACATTTTTTAAGTTTAGAGACCTATTAGACGCAACATTGAAAGTTTAGAAACTTATTAGACACAATTTTAAAAGTTCAGATACTGAACTTATAATTTAACCTTTATTCTATTACATTGACAATATTTGAGGATCGAGGTGAAGGCCAAAAAAACGAGTTGGGAGAACGATAGTTTGGTTCTCCTCTAAACTTGGTGAGGGCGTTTAAGGTAAAAAATGGAGATCATGTACATGTAATAAACAGAAGTATTTCAGCTAACGTGATACCGCTGAGTTCTTTTATCTACTAAGCTAATCTCGAAAGAAGCAATATTTCAAGGTGTAAAAAACTTTTTTCTTCTAATAATTATGGATGAACTCACATTTCACGGATATGTGGAAGCTGGGAGAGAGAATGAGGGATTGGCCCTTCAAATTGGTTTTTCTCCAGATGCCTTCATCAGCAAAACAAACAGAGATAATTAGAGAACAGGTGAGAGAGTTCCAGATTAAGTAAACAAGGAATTGATCGGAAAGCATACAAAGTCTGCAGCTCCTTCAACGAACCCATCTCTGGTATAGAGCCCGAGAGTTTGTTGCTACCGAGCCAACTGCAAAAGAAAATGCAGCCATTCAAGTAGGAGTTTTTAAGCATGGAGATTAAGATAGGTAAGTTTGAGAATGGAAAAGACTTCTCACTTACAGATGAGCGAGGGCAGTTAAATTGTTTATGCTTGGAGGAAGTGTGCCAGATAACCCAAAGTTTGTCAAGTTCCTTCACAAATATTAAAAATAGGGAGAAAAAGTTCAATTCCGATCCTAGTTCATCCGAAACATATATGAAACAAAGTCGTTCCGAAAGAAATTGTGAATTCCTGCGTTGGATTCTTGAGTTGAACACTCACAAAGTGACAACTCGAGCAAGATTTCCCCCAGAACAAGTAACTCCGGTCCAGGAATTATCCTTCGGCAAGCAAGGGTCACCGCTCCAATCATGGGGCGGGTTATTGAAGCTTCTTGCCAATTCCTCCATTGCCATCACTGCCAAATTATTAAAAGAAAACAACCGAAGCTTTGTCAAACCAAGAAGAAGAATAAGAAGAACATGGCTTCTTTTCTGCTTCCTCGTATTAATCTCAACTCAAGTGAACGTTTTTCATATAAAAGAAACTGAAAACATCTGTGAAAGTTAATTCTTAATTCTTTCAGGTTGCATTATCTCAAGGAGTAGCATATGATTATGAAGCAGAAAAGTACCATCTCTAGTTAATGTCCTTCCACCACGAGGAAAAACCTGAAGAATCTCAGCAGCATTAATTACAGGGCCAACAGGAATGTCATCTCCAGGAGTTAGTTCTATGAGGGTCTGTCCGGATAAAGGCCATTTCGCACTGTAAACCGACACGCCATTAGCAGAGACATTGAGGTTTGAAAAGAAATTCTTGCCGTTCACTGAAACACTGAAGACCCTCCAGCTATATGGACTCGGAGACCGATTGTCCTGAAAGTAGAATGAGATGTAGTAGTAGGCTGCTGGAAGAGGGAATGGAGGCCAGTTGACTTTGAGTGTCTTGCCACGGCTCGTCGTCATGGCGGTATTAAATGCCTTCGATGGTGGGAGATTCCAAAAATTAGAGGTAGTAACGTTGGCATGGCTTGTTACCAACGGGTTTTCGTCAACGAATGGGTGCCATAGCCGGTTGAATGGATCATCTGGATAGCTAACTCCACATTGAAAATTTCAAGGACCAAAAGTTGATTAAAAGGTTAGATAGAGGTTCACCATTGAAATTATAAGATTGTTGGTGAAGTTAGATTCCATTTTGAAGTTCATTCATCAAAACATCACATTAACAACCTCCACAGCCCAGCATAAAAAGAAAAGAAAGAAACAACTTCAAGCATATAAAAACAACCATGTTTAAATCCTATGTTCAATTTCAGTTCTTACCGTTACCATTCCAAGAACTCAAATTCATTTGAAAACATAACTACTACACGCGATTTCAAACATCTATCTATATAATTATCCACTAATCAGGCAATGAACAAAAGAAATATATTTATATCAAGATTCTCAAATAATTTATTAAAACCATCAATTAACAACAACTAAAATAGTTTTCCAAGAAAAACTTAAAACAACTAAAATAGAGTATTTAAAAGTTCAAATATCAAAATAGAACAAACGAAAGAAAAAGTTAAGTCCTCATTGGATAACGTTTTCATTTTTGTTTCCTGTCTTCGTAAAACTATGCTTACTTCCTTATCTCTCTTTAATATGTTTTTCCATCTTTTTCAGAAACAAAATTGAATTATTACCCTAATTTCAAAATCAGAAACAAACTTACCAAAAACTACTTTCTTTTCTAACAGTTTCTAAAAGTTGGCTAAGATTTCAAAAACATGTCCGAAAAGCAGATAGCAAAAGAAAGAACCAGAAAGGTAAACGTAGCATTCAGAAGCTCCATTTTCAAAAAAACAAAAAGCATCGTGATCAAACAAGGCTGGCCTTAGAGCCCAAACAACAAACATGGTAAATCGAAGGCATGTGTTCAAAAAAGTACAGAGGACAAACTTGTAAAAGCTAAGACTACTCCCAAATGCTTAGAAGTCATCCTAAGGTTCCTATTAAAACAATACCCATTTCAAATCACACCAATTCCAATGTGGGTAGAAATCAATCCAGAAAAAATGGAGAGAAATGGAGTTTTGGCATACCCAATCATATCGAAATCCTGTCCAAAGCTGCTTCTGGCAACGGTGCTGAGGGCATAGTTCTTGAAATCGGTGGTGTTATAAACAGAGTCCTCCAAATACTCCAACTCCAGAGCCGAGATGAAGGGGCTGGAACTGGCAGCCGTGTGCTGGTTCCTGGCCAAGCACACGCTCATCATCTTCCCCATCGCCACCACCACCAACTCGTAGTACGACGACAGCCCATTCGCGAAATCCTCTGTCGTGTTCACGGTGCTCCATTTGGTGCCCTCCACAATCTGGTCGAACACCGGCGGCTCCTTCCCGCCGTCGAATCCGCCGTAGTAGTACGTCGTCCGCACCAGATACTTCCCGCCCTTCACAACCGGAATCGCGAAGCAGTACTTCCGGGCCGAATTGTCGGGAAAGTACCGCAATGTCGACAATGTCGGCACCAGTTTCGGATCGGCGAGCTTCGAGGCGTTGCCGACGGAGGTGAAACCCTCGTCGGTGATGTACTCGAGCTTCCCCACGGCCACCTTCTTGTCCCCCCCGCAATTGATGAGATACCCTGCATTTTTTTAGGTAAAAAACACAACAAAACAAACCCGATGCGATCAAATTGCGAAGAAATCGTGGATTGTGAGAAATGGGTATTGTGAAAAACAAAGGGAATTGAAGGGGGGGAGAGGAAATGGCGTACCTCTGGGGGCGGGGGAAGGGGCGCCGGAGGGGAGGAGGAGAAGGAGGAGGAAGATGGGATTGAAAAGGGACATTCTGAATTTTTTTTTTTTTTTATTGAATCTTTTTGTGGTGGAGGGGGAATTTACTCCACCAGAAAAAGATTGTGAGCTTTTTTTTTTGCAGGTTTTTGTTGAGGAGAAAGCAGACAGTAAGGAGGAAGGGGAATGTCCGGCCTCGGCGGGGACAGCGCTCACACGTTCCTCAGACAGAACAAATTTAAAAAATACAATTATTGTTATGAGATTATGAAAACAAAAGCGCCTGTAGCTCAGTGGATAGAGCGTCTGTTTCCTAAGCAGAAAGTCGTAGGTTCGACCCCTACCTGGCGCGTTTTTTTCTGTTTTGTTTTTTTTTTCCTCGGTATTTAGCTGCAAAATCCGTTTGATCACATACAAATTAAATAAATATACAATTTTAATTTCTTGTTTGTTTATTCAAAATTTAGTATTCAATTTGATGTTATTGAATTACAATTGTTTTTTGGACATATTGATTTACTATGTTATTTGAGTAATTTCACATGAGTAATTTAGATGGACTAATTATGTAGGTAAACATGGTCGAAAGTTAAGAGGAGACATTAGAAGGTTGCTACTTGCAAAACATAAGATGTGCTTGATACTAACATGGTGTGTTGGCGACGTGTAAAACTTACTCTAACGTTTAAATAAGTTTGAGTCACGAGTTTTGTTTGAGCTTTTGTATAGTAGACATCATATTTATATCTCTTTTTGCATCTTCCATATATGTGTGTAGAAACCACGTAGCATTACGAGTGTGAAAGTATGTAAAAAAATCGAGCTGAATAAACAAAATCAGTCGAATCAAAGAAGATTGGTCGATTTTAATATAGTAAATCGACCTGTGGTTGGTTCTTCTCACAATTTCTTTGTCACTTTCAGCCATAATCGATTGACCATCAATATCTTCATTCGCTTGTTTTGTTTATCATAAGACCTAAAACTGACAACCTCAAATCGACAAAACTCGATAGGTTGGTTTGTTTATTTCAAATTGTGCCAATCGACCGTTAATTACCTCTATCGAGCATGTAGTTTAGGATATGACTGATCATACCTAATCTCTTTTCATCATCCAGATATATCTTTATATATAATATATCTTTATTCTCTTATAACATATATATATATATATATATATATATATATATATATATATATATATACATGTTACAACATGTGGGGTTGGAGATTCAAATTCTCAATCTCATAATTGGATACATCTGTCTTAACCTGCTGAACTATATTCTGGTTGGCGTAACTTGTAACTTGTAAATGATATTCAAGGACTTCTCATTTCATTTAATCCAATTATGACTCACTTTATATCTTTTGATTTCATCTCCGTAATATATGATATTCATCTCCATAATATATACAATCTACTTAATATATTTTATCACATATATAGGTCAAGGTGGTTTCTCACCTCGACATACCACTTGTGTGGCCTATTTGGATCATGCTCCCATTACGTACTTGTAAGATCTAATTAGCTTGCTAAAAAATTATTCTATTTGTAAAGTCTCAGTTTTTTAGATTTATAAATTAAAACAATTAAATGTGTACAATTGTAATAGTAATTAAAAGAAAATATAGTAAAGAGAGACGATATAAAGACATTTTTAACGTGGTTCGATTTTCCAACGTACTCCATGAGACCACACATAGAGAATAAAATTAACAATCAAAACTTAGGACAATTTACAATAAACATTAAGTTACGCATAAAAAATTCCCTAATTAAATTATACCACAATACTTGATCGACTCCTCCTTCGATTGAATTTTTTTAAACACAAGCTCCTCGTGTTGTAGACCACTTATTGAACTCCCTTCAATGATAGATGCATTTTCTCCCAATACTGGATAGAAATCTCACAAAAGAAAAGCAACTCATATAATTGCACTTATCGAATTACATAAAAAATTTCACTCTCAAAATATTATACCATAAACAATACTTCAACAATTTGAGAGAACAAACAAATTTTGTTCTACACTTCTTGCTTGCTATGTTCCAAAACTAAACA